TTTAGAATTGTATTTCGACATCACTGCTCTCAAGTTTTAATGTAGTACTTGTTCTACGAGACCGAAACGCACGCATTCAAAGCAAAAGCTAAAAATAGCCCCCCACCCGCCTCGTTAAAGGTTAACTGTTATTCATTCTTGTTTTGCGTGCGACCGTTTTCATACGTATTATGGGAAAGCGAAGCCGTGCTAAGAAGCTTTTAAGGCTGGAGAAGGAGCTTTTTAGGTTAAAGAAGAAGCTTAAGAGGGATGATTGTTCGCCCTGTAGCAGTAAGTAATTTAATTTTATTAATCACTTATTTTTAGCAACAGCGGTTGTTCTTTTTTCGCTTTAAGATAGTGCTCTTAAGCGATGCTAGAAAGTTTCTAGCGATTATTTATCTTGTAACTTGTTTACATTTTCCGTAATAAGATAGTGCTCTGTTACGAAGCTAGAAAGTTTTCTAGAAATGTGTGTTAGTCACAGTCGTTAACGGTTTCCTTTGTGCTAGGCTCAAGGTCGAGGTCGCTGACCCCTACAGACCTTTCCGTGCGACTTTTGACTACACCTTCCCCCTCACAAGGAGGTGGCGGTTTTTCGTGCCTGGAGGTTAGTCCTGCTTCAGGACAGGCTTGGGATGTTGGCGCCGATTCTGCGTCCATTGTGTTGGATGCAGAGAAAGAAAACTTGGACTGTGCGTCGGCTCCTGTCGTTTTATCTCCATCGGAGCAGGATGACTTGTTGTCGTTGTTGGGGAACGTTTCTACTCCAGCGACTTCGGTTGGACCACCAATACACGACCGGATTGCTAGTAATTTGACTTTCATTCTAAGAAATGGGTTAAAATCCGAAGACATGTCCAAACTTTTACAGAAGTACCAGGTTCCTGAGAATTGTATTGCCGTTAATAGCCCCAAGCTAAATCCCTTGGTGTCCATGTCGATACCTGATAAATTCGTGCAGAGGGACGCAAATTTAGCTAAGCTACAAGCTCGTTTAGGAGTGGCACTTGCAGCTACTTCGGTGTGTCTAAACACACTTCTTGGAGTCAAATCTTTTGACAAGAGCATAATTGAATCTTTGAACGATTCATTAAAAATTATGTCTGACATCCATTTTAATCAAAGTCAGGTGCGAAGATCTTTAATAAGATCGAATATAAGTGAGTCTCTACGGTCTACGTTGGATGGAATTGCTTTAGACGATTTCTTATTTGGAGCCGACTTAGATGAAAAAGTTAAAGCTTCCAAATCCCTGGAGAAAGTGTCGAAGGATTTAAGTTTGACCAAACCGAAAGCTGTCGTACATGGCTCAAAAAACTTTCGCAACCCGCTTGTGTCCAATCGGTGGAATCGAGCACAGGGAGCAGTGAGAACTCCAAACACAGGCGGGCAGAAAAAGTTCACTCCCAATCAGAGCTCCAACAAAAGGAAGCCATGGCTCCAACCTCGAAAACAATAGTAAGTAAAACAGGGGGCAGGTTGGCCCACTTTTTTCCTGTTTGGAGACGTGTAACCGATGACCCCATGGTGTTATCAGTTATTAGAGGTTATGTGATACCTTTTTGTAATAACATTAATTACAATTGTGTTTCTACTGAACCTAATTGGTCTTGTAAAGAAAAACAAGAGATTGCTTTTCACATTTCTAATCTGTTAGATTTAGGGGCTATTGTTAAGTGTGATTTTGTGCATAACCAATTTTTATCTGGTATTTTTCTTGTGCCTAAATCTGATGGGACCTCCAGATTGATTTTAAACTTAAAAAATCTAAATAAGTACATCAATACTTCTCATTTCAAAATGGAGGACTGGAGGACGGTCTCTTGTCTTTTAAGGCGGAATATGTTTATGGCCACATTAGACATTAAGGATGCTTATTATCATATTCCGATACATAAGGATTCAAGAAAATTTTTAAGATTCTTGTTTAAGGGACAATTATATGAATTTACATGTTTACCTTTTGGTTTGTGCACTGCCCCTCTTATCTTTACTAAAATTTTAAAGCCTATTTTTGGGCGTCTCAGGAGTAAAGGGCTACTCTCTGTTACTTACTTAGATGATTTCTTGTTATTGGGGGATTCATATGAAAATTGTTCTTTAAACGTATCATCAACTCGGTCTTTGTTATGTGAGCTTGGGTTTATTGTAAATGATGTCAAAAGCCAATTGGTACCGTCCAAGGTTTGCACTTTCTTGGGTTTTTGTTTTGATTCTGTTAATATGACTATCGGATTGCCGGAAAAGAAAATTGCCAGCTTATTAGCTTTATTGAATAGTTTTGATTACGGTTACGAGTACTCTCTCCGTAATTTTGCAAGGCTTGTAGGGAAGTTAGTTTCGAGTTGTCCGGCAGTACGTTTTGGTTGGGTACACTTCAAGTCATTTGAAAGGTTTAAGTTCATTCAGTTAATAGTAAACAATAAGAGTTTTGATGACATGTTTACATTTCCAGTTTCCCTAGCTAGAGACTTAATTTGGTGGAAAACAAACTTGATGATCTCAACTCCAATTAGGACTTATCGATATGCCCTGGAAATTTTTTCTGATGCCTCAAAGACAGGCTGGGGTGTTTGTTGTCAAGGGAAGACGGCCAGAGGTGTTTGGACCGTTTTTGAACAAACTCTCCATATAAACAGCTTAGAACTTTTAGCGGCGTTTTATGGACTGATTTGTTTTGCTTTTGACTATTCAAATTGTGAAATTTTATTGAGAATAGACAATAAGACTGCTATTGCTTACATTAATAAGTTTGGGGGAACCAAGTATTTTACTCTTAATACTTTGGCGCGCGATATTTGGGACTGGTGTGAGAACCGGAAAATTTTTTTGTTTGCATCTTACATTCCTTCTGCAGATAATGTTATAGCCGATCGTGAATCGAGGAAGTTAGATGTAGAAACAGAATTTGAATTGTCAGATCAGGTTTTCCAAGAAATAATTTCCGTTTTTGGTGTACCAGAAATTGATCTTTTTGCCTCCAGATTTAATACAAAGTGTAATAGATTTGTTTCCTGGAGAAAAGATCCTCTATCGGTAGCAGTAGATGCTTTTACCTTAAACTGGTCAAATTTATATTTTTACGCGTTTCCTCCTTTTTCGATGATTTTGAAAGTGCTCCAAAAGATAAGCCTTGATGGGGCCGTAGGTATTGTAGTGGTCCCCTTTTGGCCTACTCAGGTTTGGTGGCCTCTCTTTAAGGAACTATGCATATCGAAGCCTATTATTTTTCAAAGTAGTGATATTGACGATGAGGATAGTAATTTAATTTTACCTTACAGAAATCGCGTTCATCCCCTAGCAAAATCACTTTCCCTGGTTTCGTGCAAGTTATCAGGGAAGCCTATCGTTTGAGAGGAATTCCTCCTGAATCTTTTGAACTTTTCACCAACTCAATATCATCAGCTACTTTAAAGCAGTACTCTTCGGCTCTTTCTAGATGGTGGTATTTTTGTGGGACTCATGGTTGTGATTTTTACAATAGTTCTCACTCAGATATAATTAAGTTTCTTACCGTAGAATTTAATAAAGGTGTATCTTTTAGCTACCTAAATGTCATAAGATCGGCGATTAGTTTTGTTAGGGGCAATGATTTTGTAAACAATCTAGAAGTTAAGAGATTGTTTAAAGGAATTTTTAGAAGTAGACCGCCTAGGAGAAAGTATGACTCCATCTGGGATCCGAATGTGATTTTACAGCATTTACAGACTCTTTTGCCTTCAGAGGACTTACCTTTGAAGGATCTTTCTTTAAAACTAGTTACTTTATTGGCTTTAACTACTGGCCATAGGATTCAGACTCTTTCTAAAATTAAACTTTCTAACATTGTATTTTTGGACAAGCAGATTGAAATTCGGATCCCTGATGAGATCAAAACTTCTGGTTTAAATAGAGTACAGCCTAATTTGATTTTGCCATTTTTCTCTGACAAAAAGTTGTGCGCAGCGTATACGCTCAAAGTTTATATTTCTAGGACTAGGAGTTTGCGGAATTCAGCTGATTCTTTATTCATTTCATTTAATAAACCGCATTGTGCGATTCACAGTACGCAAACCCTTAGTCGCTGGATCAAGATTGTTTTATCAGATAGTGGTGTCGATGTCTCACTGTTTAAATCGCATAGTATAAGACACGCTAGTACGTCGGCTGCTTTTAGATCTGGAGTAAATATAGATTCTATTAGGAAGTCGGCTGGTTGGAGCAAAAGCTCAGAAACTTTTGCTAATTTTTATAACTTGCCTTTGTGTGAATCCAACGTTTTTGCAAGTTCAATTATAAATTTATGATTTCGATTTATGGTAGTTATATCTTTCATATTGTTTTTTAGGTGTATTTCTGATAAATATTAAATTTGTAGCAAACTAAACATTGCTTTGAACATCTACATTAAAACTTGAGAGCAGTGATGTCGAAATACAATTACTAGATTAAACGAACTTACCTGGTGAAGTTCTAATCTTAATTGTATGAGACATCACTGCTCTCAAGTTCAATCCCACCCACCCCCTTTTGTTTTTACCCACTTAATTTAGTTTGCAGCTTTCAACAATGAATAACAGTTAACCTTTAACGAGGCGGGTGGGGGGCTATTTTTAGCTTTTGCTTTGAATGCGTGCGTTTCGGTCTCGTAGAACAAGTACTACATTAAAACTTGAGAGCAGTGATGTCTCATACAATTAAGATTAGAACTTCACCAGGTAAGTTCGTTTAATCTAGTAATTATAATACAGGTATAATTAAAAAAATACTATAAGATTATAAGAAACACGTGTATATTTGATCTTTAAAGCACTTGCAACGTTTAAAGGCACGACGCGTTGCGTATACTTTAAAGACTTGATTATACACTTGTTTCTTGATATACTATTTTCAATTTATGTCTAAAAACGGAAGCTTGGATTTGTAAGTTTTGCATTCAGCGTATTAGAACTTTTCTCTAAAGCAGCGAACATTGTCTGAAAACTTTTCCAAGTTTTACAAACATATTTAGACGTAAATCTCACGTATGGAACTTCCAAACACCAAACTTTTACCAACATACAAACTTGAAACAACGCAGTGTATTCTGAATTGATAAGCGACAGCGACAGCAGCATGCAGTCGGTACACACAGCGCACTCAGCACAAACTATCTTTCTTGTCCACCACGTCTTAGTATTTGAGTCACAAACAACAAAAACTTCCCCTGCTTCACATAACAAGCATGTCACAAGAGGTTTAGAAAATACCTCGGCAACTTGACAGGAAAACAAAGTAAGTAAGTAAATATAAACGCAGGATGCTTTCCGGGCACGTTTCCTACCCACAAGCGGAACGACTTCAGCCAATTTTACTTAATGAAAACGCAACCACGAGCATAAATTCTACGTAGTGAGAATATCCGAGGTTTGAGTTTCGCAGATAATATTGAAACAACGAGCCCCGTTCTTAGCTATTGTTGTAATAATCGCTTCGCATCTTAATTGCCCCCAGAGATTCTCACGTAGGCGGAAGAAACTCAATATCTACTTACAGGTAACTGTTGCCGATTGGGAGAAGTAGGGAAAACCGTAAATCAATTATAACTCGTTTCGATGGCTTTATTCTCCAAGAATTCCATCGGAAACGTTTGCTTGAAACTTCTCAATTTGTGGGAAGCATACGAACACAAAAACGAGTTGCCTCCAAGCTAGCATTCTGATAACATATTCCAACCCCTGACATAGCTTTCGGAAGATATTTTTAATGCCGCAACCTTCACGCAAGAACGCCTCTATTTTCTAAGATTTCATCATGAAATACGACTATGACGGCCAGAAAACGATTTCCATATCGTAATGTAATCCGATTGCTTCTAGTTTTCAAACTGATATGGCGTCTCGATGAATTTAAACTAGCTAGTGTAGGCCAAAAGTGTGACGGGAATTTAAATCAGGCAATGCAATTTCCCCCTTTCTTATTGCATTTTACCTCCCGTCGCCAGATATTAAGAATATGGGCTCGGTAAGTACCGGATACAAAAAATATAAACGAAGAAAAATAACGAGGCAATAAAAGCAAACGATCCGTTAAATTTAAGTGTTTCCATTCTTTCAGACAGAATTTTCTTTGTTGTTCGAGCATTTCGCAAAACAAAATTTATCGCTCCGCAGTTCTTTAGGCACGGTTGTGGGAGCGCTTGGACGTTGATGACGCAATAATTCATTTTGGTTTTTTTGCTAACAGAAATTTCTCTTTTTTGCAGATCAGATGTGTCTCGTAAAGTCGGAAGCGGTCCTGCACTAACCCACAAGTCGCGATGCCAGTTGGAGGAAGAGTGGCCGGTAAAGTTACTGGAATCATTTCGAGTAATTATAATGGTAAGTTGTTCTGAACGGGAGCGAGCTTTATTGATTACGCCGCTAATACGTTCTGCATTTGGCACAGTATCGGAAATCCTCCGCTCCATAGCACTTACACGAAAACGACTCCAATAAAATATTGGAGGATAAACTTCAACAAAATGCAGCGTTCTCCCTTGTGCAATACGATATAATAGAGGAAATTTGCATTTTGATTATTTTATATCAGATCCGCTGGGGGATGTCGTAGATTGCGAAGTTTAATAATTAATCCAACTTCGTTCGCATTTAATGCTACCCTACTTCACAAATACCATTTTATTTAGGTTACAAGTTTGCATCGTTCCTACTGGTTTATTGGAATTGGATAATTATGCGTAGTTGTTTATGAGTTTTTAAAAAAGATCTATGAAAGATTTTAGCAACATTTTTTAAACCTAGAAAAATGTGTGAAGGGGCTACCAGAATTCAAAAACAGATTTTCATAATTCAGTAACCTCGTTCTAAGCTTTTTTAAAAAAATCTAATCAAAGAAAAATCTTTAAAAAAATAGCTCAAACCACAAATCGCGCTTTTGGAAGTGTTTTCAAAAAAAGGTAAGTGCAGGAAAAACACGTTTTCCACGAAAATTTATTATTTTCCGATGTAGAATAAGGGACTACTCAATAAAAAGTATAAGTTTCAATTTGCATTTGCATAGCATCATTAAATTGTTTTCGCCTTAAACGACTGTCTTAAGATAAATGGGACACCCTCTATACAGGGTGTTACACGACCGTTCGAAAAAAAAAATCGGGTTGTAGAGGGCATCAAAACAAGCACTTTTTCCAAATAAACCGAGGGTCCAACGTGTTTCGTTTGGGAGCCACCCCCCAAAGAGTGTTGAAATCTGCATTTCTTCTTTAATTTTTTTCTCAGCAACCATAAGAGTTACAAAGTCGGGTGGCATGTCTTTGAATAGGTTTTTGGGTATGCTCTTTCCGATTTTGCAATTTTTTTTTCAAAATTCCTACCCCTAAAGGGCGCACCCCTAAACTAGGGTGCAAAAAAAATTTCTGATTTCGACGAAATTTGGTATCTGGGGGTTTTTTAACATGAAAATCACGAATCTGAAATTAGTTTTTGAAAATTCGAAAAAAAAAGTTCCACTGCAATTCTTGGCGGGACAACGAAAATAGAGATAATTCCACGAAATTTGTTGTGTACATACTAAACGAGTTAAGGAACAAAACTGTCGAACAGTTTTTTAAAATATCTTTTCAAACAAAAGTTATACTCATTTGAATGTTGGTCCTTCGGGTCGCGAAGTGTCCCAAGCCTACTAGTAAGCCATAATTTCGCATGTGTTGGTTGACAATGTCGCAAAAAAAAAAGATTAACGGTTTGAGTTGATATTTTGTTATTTGGAATTAATTCGGTCATTAAATGATTAAAAAATTCGATGTATCGATTAAAACACCTACCAAGGTATCTTAAAGCGCTGATCGATTATGTATTTATTATCTAAATAAGGTAGGGGAAAAAGTCAAATCACTTTCCGTATGATACTTTTTCACTATGATCAAAAATTTTCATAATCTTAGGTTGAAAAATAACTTCCAAAAGAACACGCTCCTGGCTTACTAGTAGGCTTGGGACACTTCGCAACCCGAAGGACCAACATTCAAATGAGTATAACTTTTGTTTGAAAAGTTATTTTAAAAAACTGTTCGACAGTTTTGTTCCTTAACTCGTTTAGTATGTACACAACAAATTTCGTGGAATTATCTCTATTTTCGTTGTCCCGCCAAGAATTGCAGTGGAACTTCTTTTTTCGAATTTTCAAAAACTAATTTCAGATTCGTGATTTTAATGTTAATAAACCCCCAGATACCAAATTTCGTCGAAATCAGAATTTTTTTTTGCACCCTAGTTTAGGGGTGCGCCCTTTAGGGGTAGGAATTTTGAAAAAAAAATTGCAACATCGGAAAGAGCATACCCAAAAACCTATTCAAAGACATGCCACCCGACTTTGTAACCCTTATGGTTGCTGAGAAAAAAATTAAAGAAGAAATGCAGATTTCTACACTCTTTGGGGGGTGGCTCCCAAACGAAACACGTTGGACCCTCGGTTTATTTGGAAAAAGTGCTTGTTTTGATGCCCTCTACAACCCGATTTTTTTTTTTCGAACGGTCGTGTAACACCCTGTATATTTTGTAATAGCAACCACTTATTTTTATTATATTCTCAAAGTGCACACCTTTTTTAATATAGAAACGTAAAAAATGTATTACTCTATGCAGCAAAATTAAATCGACCAATGGAGAACAATTTGAACACTTGAGCGATTAACAATTTTTTTATTTGTTTATTTTTGTAACAGTGTAAATACTTTGTTTTGTTTAAATTTACATGTTTTTTGAAAAACTAACAAAAAAGTAACGTTTTCTTCAACGCAAACTGGTACTATTAAAAAATGAATTATTTTTTCTTTAAATTTGATTGTTTTTTATGCTGTTAAAAAGTGTACTCTTTAAGGACATGTAATGATAACTAGTACCTACTACCTAGTTAAATTAAAAAAATATATACCACCCTTGACCATGCAGAAGTACCCCACTGACCACAAATATAAAGTACGTAGATTGATAGCATATTTTTTTCATAATTGTAGATATCACAAAAAAAACTTGGCAAAAATTCGAATTTTGAAGATTCCAGACAAAATTTCCATTTGGACTGTTATAATTGTGGAATTTTCGACAGAAAGGCTTATGCATTGTATACTCCTTTTCACACTGGTGAAATTATTTAATGCGTCCCAATAGCAAAAGCATGTAGCAACATGTTACAGCTACCTATAAACAAAGCTTTTTTAGACTCACATTTAGTCTTTGTGACTTCAGAACAAAATTTTAACATTCTAATAAACAAATTATGCACATGCCATTATGAAATGTTATTTTAATGGTCGTTAATGGTCCAAATAAGTGGAATTTACTGTATTTAAGGAATTATTGTGTTACAAAATAACGAAAATATCTAAGCGCATGTCTATGACTGCTC